ACTCTTTCCAATAGCTGCAATACTGCGTGTATCTTTGCATGCAGTGGAGCTCCCAGTAGTGTCTCTAACACACAATGAAATATCACATTTCATAAAATGGTGAATTACAGAGCCAGTGAAACAAGTTAAATGTGATATCTTTACTCAGACTCTACTGAAATCACTTTTCTGCAACAAAAACTGATGGTGAAGCTACCAGGCTACCCCGGTCAAAACAGTGCTGAGTTAAGGCACCAGGCACTGTACAGCTATCAGAGCCTGACATGAGGAAAACAACGTTGACTTTTATTGTTTGATTCAAGAAGAGTCGTTGCAGTAGGAATTGCTAAATTACATAGACCATTGTGCCCCTTGCTCAGCTGCAGCCCCTTGCAAGGCAGCCACACCAATAACAGACTGCGGTCTGTCCCACAGCAGCATTACTCTGGAACCTGAGAGCAAGCAGCATTTCTCAAATCCTGGAATGAACACAATTTCACAGGCTGCTCCAGTCACCAGGCCACAAGCCCAGTTCAGTTTATAGGCTGATTTGGACTTGCTCTCCAGTCAGAGGTGGAGGGGAAACACCACTCGCTCCTGTAACTAGCTAAAAGGTGGAGAAGAGAATAATTTGATGGAAGCTTGTGGGGCATCCCTATTTCTGCACATCATCCAAAGTAACATCTCGCCTCCAAAATGCTGGCTGTACTCAAAAAACCGAGGCATTTTACAGGTTCAGATAAAGATATTCATTCATGACTGAGAGAGCAACAGGACTCTGTCAGCATGAGTAGGCAACTGCTTTCAGGCCAGATCCATCTATTAAACCCTTTGCAAAGCTGCTGTGATTCAAAACTCATGGCCCTGTGCCCACATATTATTTCCTCACTGAGGATGGATCATTTGACTGCCTGCTTCCTCTTCCCCCAGCTGCTTCCAAGGTTCCCAGTACATCACTCCCTGTCTCACTGCTTATTTACAGCATGCTACTGTATCTGTGGACAGTCTAGCTGGAAAGTCACCCACTCACGTATATCTATACATCTTATGAAGAAAAAGTGCTGGGCTGAGACAAGTGGAAAGAAAAGCTTTGGCAGGCAGATGAGATTTTTGTATATCTGAAGCTAGAATGAGCCACTAGCTAACATGCAGGGTACAGGGGTGGGGACAAAGCAAGAATATCAGACAGGTTAGAGTGACACGCTAATTTCAGCTCCCAGACACTTTATGAGCCTATATTTGAGGTTGGAAGGATGAACAATTTAATGTGCAAAGTCTTCATGTTAGTTGGACACTGTGCTTAGGGCCGGCATGGTATTTCAAGAGCCAGTATTTGAATAGTTTTCTCCAGAGACAGGAAAGGGAGTTAACGTAAAGCAGTGGCATCAATCCCTAGAATAGCCAGTGTCCAACCCCCACTCAAGAGCTCTGCTGCCTCACTCCAGAATCTGGGGCAAGAAATATAGTGACAAAAATAAGATCCTCCCTCAGTTACAGAAGACATAGAACTGTTAAATCAAGCTCAGAATTTTCCTTGAAGAATCTAGCTCTTCCCAGTCCCCAGATTTATCCTCCACATTCCTTTAAGGGTTTTCATCCATACAGCAATATGAAATGGCTTATTACTGTGTAGCTGCTAACAAGAGACAGATGTTTCCTTCAGTTCCAGGAAAATGTAGACATGAAGCACATTGTGATGACCCACTAAATATTTTTTGACCCAACTCCCTTTCTGCATGTTATCTCTTCATGCATTTAGTCAAGAAAACGCACCACAGTTCCATGCTTTTCCTGCTAATTACTGAGCTAGACAGAAGAGCATGCTTGGACCGATCACTTTATCTTAGCAGGCAAGGAAAGTCAAGCAACACATTTTCACTTAGTGAATCCAAAGCTGGAGAGTTCTTGCAATTACTTCAGAGCCAAATCAACCGGTGGCTGTGAGCCGAACTCCCCATGTTATTTATTTAGCTAGTCTGGAAGACACGCACTGCACGCTGGCGTGCAGGACAGAGCATCTGTTTCACTCAGACGGTTGGCTACATTCTTTAGTTGATATTAATATCAGGGAAAATTTAGTAACCTAACCACTGGCATGAGAAGTCTGACTTCTAAGAGAACAGATGGCAGTGATCATCTCAGGTTAATTTTAGGCTTCAAAAATTGTTCTGAGTCAGCAAAGCCTCAAGATAAGGGAAAGAAAAAGACATAACATCTGTAAAATCTCTTACCTGTTTCCCATCCAAGGTGTACAGCTTTTTGACCACTCCTGTCTCCAGTTTTATAGCTTCAGTGATGTCAGTGAGAACTTGCTCAAACGAATGGGCAGTCTTCTTGTTCAAGAGCACGCGGACTGCCTTCCGGGGCTTCACCCCGCTGCGGATGATGGTTACCAGCTTGGGACGCACAAAATCTTTGTTCTCCTTTGCCTGGGCACTGTTGCTGCTGGCCAGAGACTGAGGTGCTTTCTGGTTAGCAGATGTCTTCACATTGACAGACCAGTTGGGATTGACGTTCTTGGTGTACTCCACCTTCTTGAAGAAGTTGTCAGATGAGCAGACGTAACTCTCCCCTTTTAAAAAAAAATGAACACCAGTCTAGTTCTACACTTGTTACCTAAGACTGCTGAAAAACAGACATTATACATTTCCCCCATTAATCACATAAATCATTACTCATTGTTTTCATTACCACTTTCATGACAGCTTGTTATTAAAAAATTAATGTTTTATTTATGCTTCTCTAGAATATGACTAATATTTCCCCAAAGTAAGCAAGTCAGACATAGCTTGCATCAGCAAATACATACTACCACTCAGTCACATGAACCAGAGGTTAAAAAAAGTCGAGACTTATAAATATACCTATATATTTAGGTACCTGAAATGCAACTAAGCCGTCTAAAAGCTCCTAAACACCAAATTAATCACCTAAATTATTTTGTAAATTTGCCAGCTTCCTCTCCATCTTTATAGATCTAGCTACTACTTCAGTCTGCCATCCCTGCCAAGAGGATACCAACATTCACCCACAAAAGTTCCTTTTGTGTCATACCTGAAAAATAATGAAAATCTGGTACTGAATAGTGTCTACCAAAAGTAGCTTTGATAAATTTAGTAGGCATAACAAATATGCTTCATTGTAGTGTCAGTGGTTTATTAGGGGACAGACGTAGTGGCAGCTGAGATAAAACAGCACACCAAATACCACTGCTGGCTTTTATATGGCTGGTACCAACCAAAAATATGTTAAATCCAAATTTAGACATGGTAGAGAAGGGTTACACAGTCTTGTTATGAATTCACAAAAAAGCCCTTCCATATCCCATCCAAAATTAGTTTCAAGCTTTGTCTGTAATTTACAGGAACCTATCTAAAGTTTTAAGAGCACCTTAAAGGATTTGTAGGATCTTCTTTTACGCCTGCAAATCTGATGGATGCTAGAAGAGTTATTACTAGAATGAGACTGTAAAACAGTATCCCTAAGTGAATGTAGCTGTCTAGTTTGAAATGACTCAGGCTGCTGGGTGCTTGACGATGCACTGAAAAAAAGTCAGTCAGTGCTAGAGGAAGAAGCTTTTGTCTCGCCATTAGATAAAATTTTAATAGAACTGAAGGCATAACATGGGTACCTGTAGCATCCTACAGAGTTTCTTTCAGTGTTTTACTGGGCTGATCTTACACAACAAAGTTCTTCAAATATTATGATAGGTTTGAAATAAAAACATAGATTTAATTATTTTGAATAAGAAAAAAAAATCCTTCTTCATATAAACGACCAGCTGCATTTCATTATCAGTTCCCTGCTGCACACTCCAGGGCCTGGACATCTTTGAAAATCCTACCCAACATCTGAGTCTGGCTTTCCTTGCAGGATCTCTAGGACAGGATTTGACATCCGATTGGCAAAGGTGTAAATATGTATTTCACAGCTCACTGATTTCCACGGAGTTTTGTGGTCCAGGCATTAGTGTTCATACAGTCATCCTTCTGCTGACTAAATTGCATTTTTGATCAAGGCACTGAGTCGATCCCTTCATAGAACCTATGGTGAGACCACTAACAGGCACACAATAAACAGCAGGCTTTGATAGGCTTAAAACAACAGTCTGTGTAGTACTTGTATCCTTGTTACTGCTAAGTGTTTGATGTCACATGCAGCCAGAGAGAAGATTCAGGATGCTGACTTCTTTTTTTGACCCTGACTTTGTGTCCAGTTTGCCAGAAAGTGATGTGTACTCATGATGCTTACATCACCAACTGCAGCTTTCCTCCACTGCCCCAGTTGCATAAAAAGACCAAAATCATTTATCAACAGGAAGCAGATATTCTGTTTTCCCTTCTGAAGATGGAACAGAAGTACAGAAGGCAGAAGAGAACTAACAAGGTTCATGACGAACACAGTCGGGCATTTTATTGACTAGTGTACCCCAAACTACCACAATAATGCCACCAGAAGGTTCTGTTGGCTTGAACAAAGAATACAAATCTATGAGGCATGTATGGTGTCAGAAAAACCCCTTGATAAACTGACCATGTATTACCCATAGGTGATGCTCCTTAATTCCTTACTGGAAACTGACTCAGTAGAAGCATAAAGATACCCCACAGAGTATCATGCTTTATAAAGAATTCCCATTGGAGATATTGTTTTCTTGGCATTGAATACTTTAAATCTTTCTGATTAATAAGTGATAAATTATGATTTATTCATCTGCTTCAGCCAAGCAACAACTGGTGTGCAGAGGGCCCAAGGTTCTCTCGTTTCACAACTGAGAGTGAAGCACAGCAAGGGGAGTTGGAAATGCTCCCAGGGAATTAGCCCTCCTAAGAACCTGAGCCCTCCCAAGCCCATAATCCCTGGGCGGCACAGACTTTGTAAGCGTGCTCAGCAGAACTGTAGCATTATCCTTTAAGAAAAGGGATTTCTATGTTTAAATGCAATACTAGGACTAAGTGGTTTGAATAGTGTTCCCACCCCTGCCCCAGGCCTCCCTGGGGAAGCTCCTGCCCTCACCTGCATCGCTCCTTCCCTACCTGAAAACCAGAAGCATCAATATCTGCACTGAAGGGTTGCAAGGCTTGACTTTCATCTGGGTTTATGTAATACTTTGGGACAGAAGATGCCACAGTGAAAGAAAGTATATATTTGTGCTGTGTTCTGTAAACACGTGAGGTCTTAGAGCATATTTTCCATTAATAAGTCCCATGTTTTAAAGTAAGTGGAAGAGATTGTTGGTCTGTTTAGTAGAGTATTATTACTCTTCGTTCCAGCTGAACCATTTGAAATTCTTTACTGCACACCATAGCAGTCTAGGATATTTACAACAGTGTACTCTGAAGGCAATAGTAGCATGAAGGCAATACTCTTCTCCTCGGCTTTGTTTCCCCAGATGTGGTATCAGGTAGCTGTGCATATACATACACTGGCCTTTCAAATTATGCTCGCAGTCACAAGCGGAAAATTTCATCTGCCCTTTCTCACATTGTTTCATTTAACCCAAATCCTAGCAACTATTTTATTGAATTGTAAAACTGGACAGATATTTGCTTGGGGTGACACTTCAGAACAGCAGCTCTGCTCAGCATCATTTCTGCAGCTATAGTAGTATAGCTCTGGGGAAGAGGAGCTTTTCTTTCCTTCTTCTCTGACCTAAAGATGTAAGCTGAAGCTTTAACTTAAAAATCACTTCAACTGAAGTCTTCCCAAACAGGTTATGGCCTTCAAATAATAGCAAAATTATCATTCAAGTTCCTCAGGGAGGCACATCCCTTTTACCATTTGCCAGCCAGGAACATGAGCCATTTCCCTTCCCATAGCTGAGTTTTACCCAAACCTTACTATGCAGTGGTAGCAGGACTGGGCAAGCATGGGCTGAAGACCTGTGAAATTTCCAACCTTGAACACACATACTGTGGCCAGAAGATCACAAACAAGAGAAATGTTATGGGGAACAGTGCCTCCACAGAAAGAGGAGTGGTTTCTTGGTTTCTCTCCTACATCTATCTGTGTTAAGCCTATAATGAGAAGTCAAGGTGTACAACTGTGCCAGTCAAAGCAATATAACTGATAGACACAGCGTGGCTGCAGAAGATGTGCACAGCGTAACAGAAGGAAAAGGGAGGAAGTGGATATGAGGTTTTGTCAAAAGCAAAAGAAACTACTCCAAGAAATATATTGCTCCCCAGGCCTAAGCATAAAAATCTGTGCACAAATATTTTCAGGAACACGTCTTAAGACAGCACACAGCTGTGTACATATGCAGAAATCCAACTGTAAGCCATGAGAAGGTACGATGAACAGCTACGTCATTACTTCCAAACGAAACCCCAAATGGGAGCCCCAAGGAGACACACTCATGCATTGGGGGTGGGAAGCTTTTGTAAGAGACAGAAGCATCATCCTGACAAGATCCAATCTGCTGCTGAACACCACGCTATGGCATGACAGCAGTGGTGGCAAGGATAGCACGGTTTTAGTGCAGTGCCTGGTCACTGCACGATGCCCTTTCTGCACTGCAAAACCAAAGCCCTGCAGAATGATTCACACTTGTCATCATGCCAGCATGCTCCAGAGGTGTTACAACTTCTATCGTGCCACCAAACCACCCAAGGCATGTATTGATTCCTTCTATCCTGCCCTTAGGACTGACTGTAGTCCTTTGACCTTAAATCAAAATTGGCATATTTGCCATTTGAAGCCATGGCTTGTACCACACTGAATCACTCTGGCTACAAAGGCATTACACGTTACTGTGCTACAAATTTGATGGAAGCACAAGGCGATTATTTAGCTCCTAAAGAAGGGATGATCTCAGCAGAGATAAGGTTTGCCTTAGAGAAGGTTTCTTAGAGAAACACTAAGCTCAAGATGAGCGCTAATCCTTCAACCCTCTTACAGCAGCTCCTTGTGACAATAGTAAAAATGACAGGCTGTGTTTTCAGAATGAGTTATCCTTTCTCAGCATGCACCAGCAAGTTTTCAAGTATAATGAAGTGTGGGCAGAAGTCTTGCAAGAAAAAAAAAAAAAAATCGGGAAACCTGGATTGAGGCCATTTTGAAAGTGTAACTGCTAACAGTTATTCCAAAAACAGTCTCTGTGGGCTGCACTCAATTATTTTGGTTGTTAGCTCTGCTGTCGCAAAGTTGAGATTGTGCTACTGTGCCCAGCTTTCATGTTTCATGGGATTTACTCTGACTTCGATAGGAATTAAGTGGACTTAACACCTTGCAGAGTTCATTACATATGGTGTTAAAGTAGCCCTTTAGTTTCAAATGCATGAACTTCCTGCTACTTTATGCATTAAAAAGGATTTTCCTCTGCCTCGAGACCTACTCCACCATGGCAAAATGAACTCTGGAAGAGCTTCCTTCCTTTGGCTCTTCCACAGGGAGCTCTCCCATGAGAGAGAAGCACCTCCTGTTCTGTTGAAAAAGGGAAAGAAATGCATGATTACCAAATCACCCTCAAAACCACACGATGCCCATAAAGAATTTATGGGACCACACCAGTCCCAGTGTGACAGCCAGGAGGAGCGAGCAAATAAAACAGAACCACCAGGATACATTTTGTTACATAGGATGTAGTTAGCCAAGCTGTCAGGACAACAGCCACAGAAAACAATGCCACAGGTTACCAAGACTTCAGTATTGGACATTAATTTCAGTTTTTCAGGCAAACTGGAAGATGCACACATAGGGTGGAGATTTCACTATTATTTCATATAAATCCCTTAGTCCCAGCACACACCCAGCTCTGTACAGCTCCAGGGTGGAGCCCTTCCTATGATTACTTTAAACACTCCTGGACAAGACTTTGGAAAAGTCTTCCCCAGGGCACGAGAGGATACAAAAAGCTTGGAACACTTTCTGGAGTATCTCACATAGCCCAAGAACACTTGCAATGAAACACTACTGAGCAAAACAAAATCCTATTCAGCTTTTTCTAGTGTTCTAGTGTTTAATCTGAGACAAGAACAAATTTCAGACAAGTAGCCCAGCACAGGACAAGGGGATGGGCCTGAGATGGGCTCTCCACCCACAACGCAAGGGGACTGTGCCCTGCCTAACAGCCTGAGCATACCAGGAGCTCAGAGGGGAAGAACTCTACAGCTTCAACAAATGCTGAATCTCTCAAGTTCTACTTTTAATCTATGTCTACATTTCTGCCTTCACTGACCACGTCTGATGCATGCTATATTTGTATTTGATGGGTTTATTTCCACATGTATTCTGCCCCTGACCATAGACAAAGGACACTTAATGCACATGAAATTAGCCACTGACTAGAAGCAGGTCCAAAGCCTGACTCAGACAAGAGAGTACACAAGTGGGAGATGCTGTCAGCAATTTCCCTGCAGTCAGGATCAGCTGTAACAGTGCAATAATAGGATGCTGTACTGCATTAAACCTACATATATATTAAGGAAGAATGCAGTCCTAATCAATGGCAGCGTGTGCATTATTTACAAATACATTAAAACAGAATGCTGAAAATAGTGAGCCAAGATTACGACTACAGTGACGGAAGATGGCCATTATGACTGAAAGGAGGGAGGAAAAAAAAGATCAGACAGGTGGATTTTGAGAGAAGGTCATTGGGAGACACGGCCACAGACAGCTCTCTGGTACAGAAGGCAGTATGGCAAAGCAGCCAGGGACAGGTGAGGAAGAACCCAGCAGGCAGCAGAGTGACAGCGTCCTGGTGGACTTCCAAAATGTGAGGCATTAGAGTGTAGTACAGGAAAGAGCAAGACACATCCCAACTGACAGCTGGGAGGGATGTGATCAAAGAGTAAGAAAGACTTCACTTGTTCCATATTGGACAGACTGGGAAGTAAAACAATCATCCAGAACCTTATGAGAACAACCCTGAATGCCAGGGAAGGAAAGACTACCAAGTCTGGGTCTGGAGACCAAAAGAGTCCCATGTAATTATCAGCACACCAAGCAGTTTTTTGCACCTGAAACATCTGTCTCAAGGATTGTGCAATATCATTCTCTACCCTCCAGAAGTACATTCAGACTACACCATATAAGCACATTTTTTAATCATGCATAAGTAGTCAAATACTTAGAACATGATGTGAAATATTATCAGTAATTCACCAGCTTTTGCAATCAAACTACTGAGATGAACCTCTCTAATGTTTTTTCCCTAGGTTCTATCTGTTTATTGGAAACTACAATAATAAATTAGTCACATTATAGCAACTAGAACTGGTTTAGTTATGCTCAGTCTCCAGACAGAAAGCTAATTTATATGGCAAACATACACTGTTTGTGTATGTACTGTTCTTGTATGCCACAGCGCAATTATCCTGAAGTTTTGTTTTTCTGTGCATGTACCTAGCGCAGTTATACAAACACCCAGGCTAACAGCAGTTTACCATAAGGTTGGTTACAACCATGGTATTATAGATCAAAAGTAATCTTTCCCAGATCGTTTTTCTACAACAGATGTGTAGGTCATCCCTAGAAATATGGGAATATTGTTATCATTAAATTGTCAATAACAGCATGCAGATCTATCTTTGCATTTTCAAACATGGTATTCCTTTGTTTTCACTCTGCTCAGACTGTATTTTGCTAGCTGGTGCTCTGCTGAGGACACAGCCACACAGACAATCCCATTTTTTGTTTTAGTGCCACTTCTTCAATGCTGTTTCCAGATACCATTTTGGCGGAACAAAGCCAGAACCAAAATGCCAGCATCTCCTGTGTGTACCTTAACAAATAAAAAAATATTTTCAAGAACTAGGTACCTTCCCACCTGCAGCAAAACCCAGTGTAAAGCAGGTATAACAACTAAAGGGTTCTTTACTGGCAAAAAGCAGGAAGAGTATAAAAGGAGAATAAAGAACTCCATTTTCTCCTGTGGAGTTATTCCTGAAAATTTGCATAAAACCTAGGACAAGCAGGACTGAGAGCTGCCATTAGAGAAAGGCTGTGGCCATATTAAGACACCAGAATGAAACATGGCAGAATCTCTAAAATTAAGGGAGACCACACCTCCCTTTGACAGCTGTAACTAGGCTGAGAATAACTCCACTAGGACTGCATCATCTCTCTGAAAGGCAGCAATTTCTTCCCAGTAAAACTCCTCTATGGAAACCAATATGCATTCTGTATGCTTGTCCCCACAAAGTATTTTGGGGGAATGAGTATCCCACCTGACAGATAAGGAATTCTAGGGAGAGATGCTTTAGTCAAGGTCACACAATGACTCACTGCTGAGGCTGCCTCTGCAGTTCAGCGGCTCACACACTCACACCCATTGTCTTTTATTAAAGGCAGAAGCCTTGGGGATTTTCTGTAGTTACCAAATCAGCCAGGTCATCTGCTTGGAGGAAAACATCAAGGAGCAGGGAAGAGCAACTCCCCTCTTGCAACAGAGTAATCGGGATATTGCAGGTCCAAACAAAGAATGGAATATCTGAATTGCTTAGGAAAGAGGAAAGCGGGGTGGCTGTGGGTGTCCTCTGTGCACCCCACTCAGGCTGTGCCACCAGCAGAGCTTGCCCATGGCCATGCCTTGGGCAAGGAGGCAGGACTGGCCACACAGCCATTTCACCCTGGGGGTCCTCCTGGCACTCCCCGAGAAGGCCAGCACCCATGGCGGCAGCCCAGGGCTGCAGAGGGAGGTCCCCCGGCACAGCCAAGGCTGGCAGCTGAGCTCCACAGGAGCAAGCCTGTCCCCAGAACACCCCCTCCAGACAGGAGGATTGATTTTTGACTCGTCCTTCATCCCACAGTCCAAGAGACGCTCAGACGAACAGGCATACCAAGAGCTCCTCTAGATACAGGGACACACTCAGACCGGCCCTGAGCATCCCCTGCACACGCTGACCTGCCATGCAGGGGATGCCTTCCCACACTCCTCCCCCAAAGCAACCCACCCCACCACACACAGTCCCTGCAAAAACACTCCTCAAATACACCCCCTTACACACATCTGAACATCTCAATACCCCTCCCTTCTGCACAGACCCTGAACCACATTCAGATGCAGCACATGAACCCCCAACGCCCTCTCCACGCACGTTGCTATGGAAGAACCCCCCCTCCCCAAGCACTCCCCCTGACACACACACAGCCCAACACACCTCCACACACTCCCTGAGTGCAAACACCAGCACACACCCTGTGCATGAACCCCCTCAAGGAACCCCAACACCTCCTCAGCAATTAACCCTCCTTACACCTTCCTCCACACGCACACACGTATCAACCCCCAAATTTCATTAACTGCAGCCCCCCAAAAACACCCTTCTCCATACACACATCTTGTTCGTTAATGTTCCCCTCTAAGCACACTGCGTGAACTCCCAACACACCCCTCCACACTCCCCAAACACTGTAAAAACCCCTGTCACCCCACCTTCCACACATCCACACCCTGCATGCACCCCCAGCACCCCACAGCACACCCACTGGTCCCTGCACAGCCCCGACCACACGCCTATACACACACATTGTGCACGAACCCCTCAAAACACCCCCCCACACAGAGCACATAAATCCTTCCCACACCCCTTACACCCCACTACCTGAATCCCCCCCCAGCACCCCTCGCTTTTCCGTTCATACCCATCCACCCCAGTGGGAAACCCACATCACTCCTCAGCCACCCCCTGCACCCATGTGAGACCTCCCCCCAGCCCGGACAGACGTGGGGACACCCTCAGACAGCCCCCCAAGTGATGGACACAGCCGTGTCTAGCCAAGAGCAAGACACACCCCTCCAGCTCCACATCTGCACCCGAGCGAGCGTGCTGGGGGACACCCCGGGGGTGTCAGCCCCTGCTCTGCCACCCCCCCCCACACTGCTCTGGAGGGGAAGGCGAGCAGGTTCAGCACAGAGGGCAGAAGCATCCCCACTTGCCCAAGGAAATGTGACCTTAACGGCAGACCCAAGTGGTGCAGCCCCCTTCCCACCCCGCCTCCTCACTGCACCAGACAGCGACGCTAATTACCTTCCTCCAGCTCATCCATGCTTCCAATCTTTCGCGACCCATCGATGGTGTAAATGTAACGGACTCCCTGAGGCAGATTAATGTTGTCAGACAGGGATCGGGTCAGGTCAGCCAGGAGAGCATCAAAACTTCGGAAGCGGTCAGAGGACACGGCATATACAATCCCCTTGAAGTAGCGGTCCCCGTTGCGATAGAAACGCACCTTCTTGGCTTTCTTCTCATTACTCAGTGCCTGTAAGGTCCTGGTTCTGTAGAAGCTACAGTGAGCACTGTGAGTGGGGCTGGGCAATCCGTTCATACGTGAGCCTCGCATGTTTCTGGACGCCTTGTCTCTTTCGTCAAAGTGTCCAAAATCAAGTTCCATAGTTTGGGGAACCCTAAAGATCTGAAGCTGAGCAGGAAGGAGATGGGGAGAGGAAGAGTGCAAAGGGACAGGTTAGAGCCAAGCAGAGCCACAATCCAGAGGAAAAAAAAAATAAAAAAAGACACTAATGCAAGAGCTGTATCTGGAGCAGGACAGATGTATTTGGGAAGCACCTCCTCCTCTGACCCAGATCAGCATTGATTCTGGGGACTGAGGGTAGGAGGGGTCCTCGCATTTTGAAAGGGATCCAACTACTGGGGGCAGGGAACACGTTTCCAGAGAGCTGTCTGCTCCTGCACCTGGGATTTTTCACAGTGCAGTATATTGGGACTTGGGGCCAAAGGGATACATGGCAATCACAACTCAGCCCCAAAAAACTCGTCCAAACACCAGTTGGCAATGAATTAAACCTCTGAGCCCTGTGAGGTTTCCTTTGGCAACTGAAAACAAGGAGATCCCAGTAAGTCAGCCCTTCAATCTGTCGAATCACGGAAGGAACCAGAGCATCTGAATGTTTAACATTAGAATAAACTGGCATTTATGAAAGAATGGTCACAGGGGAATAAGCAGTTTCTTTGTGACAGCCTGTTCAATAAGGGCTAGCAATGAGATCCAGCCCACCCTTCCCCCTATCCGCAGCCCCCCTCCTAACCCATCAATCAATTCCCAGGACCAGCCTACATCTCTAAGAAGAAATGACTGGAAAGAAAAAATCCGTCATTGAAAGGAGGCTTCGATAAGCTCTTTTCAGCCCGAGTCTCCTCTGAATTGCATTTCTGCTCCTGTTTAATGAGGACGAGAAAATAAAGGAGCTATTTCCATTCCCCCTTCCAGCCTTAACTGATTTAATTGCTGGAAGTGCCCCTGCCCAAGGGACACACCGCCCCTGCTAGCTCACCTTTCATTGTTCTGAGCACGGGGGGCTCCCAGCGCAAGTGACTAGCACAGAAAAGCTGAGGCTTGAGCTGACACCCAGCAAGTAGGAATTTCTGCATGGTCTCTAGTTTATGCTTAAGAAAACCTTCCTTCTGCACCAAACCCCAACACAAAAGGAGGAGGAACCCCCAACCCTGCAATAGAAATACCCTTCCAGCACAACCAGGAACACACAACTCATGTATCTTGCTTGCATGTTAACAGAGGGCAGAAAGGGGATTTACACCAACACTTGTCAGCCAGGTATAAATCTAGGAAAAGCTGTTGCTATCTCTTCCTCCCCCCTTACGTTTGCCAGAACTAAGCTCCTTCCCTGTATTTTACAATGTCAGCATGACCTGTGCAAGAAAAATCCTTATCCCCAGTCTGCAATAAAGCAGAAGATGACAATGCAGGCGATCTGCACAGAAACCCCAAGTTGGGAACATTTTCCCCATGATGCCAGTTGGGGTAGATTCAGTCTGGTGTCATGCAGTGAACAATGAAACATCCAAGCAACTTTGGGAATGAATCAGAGGATGCAGGGGGTTTTGATTTTAAATGAACTGCAGATGCTGTAAGGTACTAAGAGAAAGATTCCTCCTTCCTATCTGACATCTGTTACTTTTCTGCATGCAAGTCACTCAAAAAAAAGCTCTACTCACCGGTTTTCAGCGCGCAGGGTGGAGATGCTGAGAGAAAGAAAACCAGGCTCACTCTGCCTTTGTTGTCTGAGCTCCAAGCAAGAAATTCCTGCCAGGGTGGATGAGACGCCTCCTAGGTCCTAGTGCCTTGTTCAATCCCTTCACGGTAACTTTGCCTCAGTGGTTTTTACTCTCCTCATCAGTCGTCTGCTTGTAGTCTTCTCTGTATTTCAGAAAAAAAAGGGTGTGTGTTAATTCCAGCTCCATATATGTTAACAGATGGGTAAACAAAAAGTTTAAAGGGGCTTTAAAGGAGCAAGCTTTGGGGTAATGTTCTGAAGGATGCAAATTTCCTTTTGGCTCTAGTTTCCCCAAGAAAGCAACTGGCCACCCTGAAAAAAAAGAGCATAATCAGACTGATGCACCAATGTTATAGGATCACCAGTACAGGGAGGTCATGGCTACAATCCTACAGAGTGCTACAATGCTGGCACAAGACTCCTGTGCATTAGGAAAGCAACTAAGAAAAAAAGTTGACCAGTGGAACTGGGCACAGTCCTGCTCCTGGACTGGTTTTACATGGTATTCATGGTTTACACTGGCAAGCAGAAAGGGAGAATTCACTTGGTGGTTCTGCATGTGGTGCCCCTGAATAATTTTTCTCTGTTAACACTGGATATAAGCCAAAGCCAGAGCTCTGAATCCCAGTTCATTCAAATCCCCAGGGGGTTCAGGATAGAGTCATTCGACACAAGCTTAACCCAACAGATTCAGCCTGGCTTGTATCCCAAACTAAGAGAAGTTTCCTTTCTGATTCCACTGCAGGAAGACTCAGCTGTTAGAAAATTATACCGGGCTCTTTCACTTTGACAGCAAAATCTTTCACCTGCTTTCTGGATAGAGACCTGCAGTTAGAAGAGCAGCACAGCTAACCCTGCTCCTAAACCCCCTTGGGTGCTGGTCCCATCTTTATTTTAGAAAAGCACAGGATTTGGAAATGGGAGGGTTTACACATCTGCAGAAGGAAATATTTCCTAAAAACTGTGTCTGTTTTGAATGAAAACATCAGATTTCGTCATTTTGGCAGGCACATCACTGCAGTATCACATTTACACAGAAAAAGTCAGTATTTATTCCAGCTTTGTCTGCCCTGTACACGATAGTCCAGGCAACACTGACACAAACCCACCAGGATCTCATCTTTGTTTGCCAGCAACTTTCACACATGACATTTGTAAATTTTCCGTCCTTTTATTCAAAGGCTCCTGTGCATCTTCTGCTAAAGTTGTTGGCTGCTCCCTTGTGTGCTTGGTGGAATCACTGTGGGAGACTACAGTCTGCTCTCCTTCCTCAGGAATTAGCGCTTGAGAGGACCACAGGAAAGAGCAGGGGCTGTGCTCTCCAGGGGGTATTTCAGTAGGTCTGTGGCTGCAGATGCAAGAGGTAGGTGGAACTTTAAGCCTTCTCCTTCCCATTACACCCCATTCCAGTTTAGATAATACCTGGCCATTCATCACCATGTGCTTTATCTGTCCAGGACTAACAATTCTTCCCTATACCACAATACTACTGTAAATATAAATTTATTCATACTTTTTTTAACAATGTGCCAAAGATACAAATCATTATGAGGGTGCTAAGTACAGTAACAGGAAGAACAGAGAAAAGGAAACCAAATGCAGTCTTCAGTGGTGCACAGACCTTTGGTAGAGAAGAGACAGACTGAGATGATGTCTAAGAATCTGAATACTACCCCAGGGTAACATGTCAGGATGATGTAAACCCTCAGTCAGTGGAATTGCACAACAATTTATTCATCTCTGACTTGCATGGTGAGTTCTGAGGACAGCAAAGAGTCTCAAACAGCATTAACAAATGGCTCTTGACTTCTCTCCACATCTGAAACCATATGTGCTGGTGAGAAGATGAAGCATGCCTATATGGACATGTCTGCTCAGGACACTGCCAGAAGCTTTTTGGAGCATGGGCACTTCCTTTTAAAAGCAGAATTACTCCAGCAAGAGACCTGATATTTGTTCCCAGCAATAGAAATCTTATCCTTCAGTCAATGACGGTAATGTTCACCTTGGGTAAAATCTCGAGTCACTCCAAAAAAGTGCCCAAATCACCTTCAGTACAGTTGACCTCCTTTAATCCTGCCATGAGACAAGGAGGATCTCTGCAGCCAGAGCATCATCGGAGGTGAGAAGCCCAGGAGCCAGATTGATTTCACATGTTCTCAGTGCAATCGCACCATATTTGCATCTCTTCAAATGAGATCACCTCATCCTACAGACACTGGCTGGGCTGTGCAATAAGGCACAGGTATAAACAGCTTGCTTGATGAATGCAAGGGCCTGCTCCTGACTTCACTTCTGTTGGTCCGGCATAAGAGGTTCTTCACTGGCCTTAAGGAGCTAATGCTAGTCAAAACCTATTTCCATCAGACGAGGCTTACCCTGAGACACCATAATCTAAACCATTTCAGGCAGCATGAGTGATTGAGAATTGGAAAGAATATTCTTCTTCCCATCACTAATTTCATCTAGCTAAGAAGGAAAGATAAATTTAGCTCTTCACATTAAATTATCTGCTTTAAATCAGGTGAATCATCTATCTTCCAGGAAGCCAACATTTAGACTTTTGCCTGTGTAACTAGATCTGTATAAAGATATGTTTGTTGACATTGCTGAGCAACTGTGATACTTTGGAAAGGGACAGACTGCAGGTAAAAGGGATTTTGCAACTGCTTTGTGCTAACTTCTTTGCACATACCTACAAAATACAATTTCTAGCATCATGAGGAGTTGCAGTCTTAAGCACTCCATGTCAATGCCCAGTTACTTTGCTATACATCGCCCTGATTTCTGTAAAAAATTGCATCTGATTACACAGCATGTTCTCCAATCAGGATGTAAATTAGGGTGATAAGTAGCTCAAGTCTGGCTGCACCACAGATGAGAATTCTGGAAAAAATTAAATCAAGTGATCACTGCTTTTGGAGGAAGTCTTGGATCAACATTTTCAAGTCAGTCTATTTAGATGCATATGTTTAATTACATTTCTTATTTTAACCTCTGTTCTTCTGGACTGTTTTGAAAATGTCATCCCTGATCATCGCTTTCAAAGCTTCACTTGATGTGAACTTACATGCCAAAACCCTCTGAAATGACAAATTACTATTTCAGGGCTCTGCCAAATGTGTCAAAACACTCAAAACTGAAAGCCCATAAAGCCAATGGCTCAGTCTTGACCTTACAGAGCAACGGGCTTAAAACATGAATTTTCAAAAGAGCTGATAGTTCAAAGAATTATCCTATATCAGACTATAGAGTTAAGTTTCTCCTGCATAACACCATGAGCTAATAAGCAATGGGGACTTGGCAGACGTTCACCATATAACATTTGTTTCCTTTGGAGATTTATTTTTACAGGGACCACACACAGCTGAAAGTCTTTTAAATACCAATGCTAGCAAGCCAAAGTCAGCTCAACCACTGGGGAGAGAAGGGTGGAGGAACACCTCCATAGCACGGTTTCACCCCTCCAAGCCTTGTGACCATCTGCAGAGGCTCTTCAGACATTGAAATCAGAGGGCTGGACCCTTCGACAGCTTGAATCACTGGAAAACCCAGGCAGCAGCAGGGACATTTTCAGTCTGGGGAAGGAGGAGAAGGAGGAAGCAGAAGCTGGGCTCCAAGGCCACCTCCAGCAGCTGGCCAATGGAGGGCTCCTCACCACCAGTATCTCCTGGGTCAGACCTGTCACCAGACTTCCAGAACCCAGAGGCTGTGCTGAGTCAGTGCATTTGCACTGCAGCCCCACACCCTTGGCAGATGCATGCCCTCAATCTCAGCAGATTACTTTGGCTTCAGATAAGCTTTGAAATTTGGGAGAAAGAGACCTTTACATCCTCCGAGGGATCAACAGGAAGCAGGCTTCAAGTGAAAAGGCCATTTCCTGTGCTAATAAGCTCTTTGTAAGTATCTGGAAATGTTCATAATGAGTTAATTCAGTGAACTCACTCAAGCCATTCCCAACACATCCACATACAAGAAAGCATTAAAATGCACAACAATCATCCAAAAGAAAAATACCTTTTGCACTAGACTTCTTCTGGCTCCATCCCCTCCCTACTACAAGCAAATAATCACGATCAATAAACCTTTCACAGCTGAAAACAACTTCCCTGATAACAGAAAATGAAGCACCCCCACCCCAGTACACACCCTATGATATCTCGGGTAAATTCAGCCAGACCCAGCGAGTTCCACAACCCAAATTCTGGTGGCAGTTCAGTGGCAGTGTTTTCCCTTAACAGCAATTTGCAAAGCTTGCAGAAAGCCATGGAAACGTCTGCCGCATGCCTTGCCTGTACCCTGGGGGACATGCAGAACCTCACCAAGGTTGCAAGTACAATTTTGCTGACCAAATTATGTACATGGTTGGCAAGTCCCAGCCAAGGTCATGACAAATGGAACCACAAGAAATCCCCATGTCTCCTTTCTCTGAGGTTGGCCATGGGAATCAGTAGTTAGAATACTCATGACCAAGAATTTAATAACTTCTTGATCATTTCATTTTATACAGTAATTCTAACTGAATACATGATTGCCAGCCTCTCTCAAAATGCCTGCTGAATGTAACATTGGTTTGAGTGAATTTCCTGATGGAATATGAAGTGATGGAAAGGAAAATCTCAAAGCCATCATGGGGGATCATGTCACATTCAAGTTGGAAATGCAAGATGTTTCCTTTCAAGCATAGATCCTCTCTGTCACTCTGAAGGCAGTGACAGTGAAGTCAGACATTGGGGAGCATTCCACTCAGTCAACGTCATCCCAGACCAAGCCAAGAGGCTGCAGGATTTGCCATATGTGTCCTAGGCAAATGCCTTCTTGTTATCAAACAGTGAACACATGATCTACAAAAATAGTATTTTAAACAGAAGACAAAAGGTACCTTCAGTGGCTTTAGGAGACATTAAGAGCTCTTGAGCTCTGGTATTAAGTATAACATAGGACAAAGACTAGATGTCACAAGAGGGCAAACTCCACCAACCTGGAGTCCTCATAGCCTATCTCGGTCTCATGTTGAACTTTAATATTACAAGCATTTGTCAGGTCCATGCACCCCGACACATTGCCCATAGGTAATCTCAATTCAGGCCCACACCATATTTAGAGCACGT